ACGACGACGACTACTACTACGACTACGACTACGACTACGACTACTACTAGGACGTCCGCCTTCGCACCGCCATGCCTCCGTCCGCAGCAGCTGACGCTCCGAATCCGCTGGTCCTCACCAGGTGGACCTCTCTCCGCGTTCGCTCCGGCCATGGGCGCTGCGGCGTGCTGCGCTCCGAACTCGGTGCCCTCGGCGGCTCCGATCTCGAGGAGCGGGACGGGACGCCGACAGGGGTCTGGCGAAGCTGTCGGGGCTGACCCATTGTGCCATGGGGGGCCCTAAAGATAGAAGGGATCCATGTCTATCGCCCTACTTGGATGTTGAACAAGCTCGGCGGTTTGATTGAACAAGTGTCAACGCAGGTGTTGCGGCAGCGATGTCATTTGTTGATTTGGTGGGTGCCATGAGTTTTATGAGTTTTGGGAAACAGACACTCATCAAGATGGAACTGAAGACTTAGAAGACAGAAGGCGATGGCTGAAGGTCTTACATACAGTGATGAGCTACAAATCAACGCCTTATTGTCCAGATGGATCTGGCTGAGTAGCAACATTTGGAGTTCTTGATCTCAATCTTCCTACACCTTCCGAGCCCAGAATCGCCGACATGGTGTGCTCGGCCAGGAATCCAGATGAGTTCTTTCCCTACAAGGGCAAAGATGTTTGGTACACTTGCCGCCCAGACGTTCCAATGGACCCCAGGCTGGGCAGTGCGTGGTGTCATGCGGTGCAAAAGGCCAAGGAAGGAAAATCGAGTGATCCTCATGTAGGTTTGTTTCAGTATGTTTCAGTACAATAGGCACCAGTGGTTGGGTTCATAGCTCTTCCCATATCGGAAGGCTAAACACAGTTTGGTTCCTTTCAGATTTTTGACAATTTGATGTTCAAGCAAAATCCAAGAACGACATGCGTTGCAAATTGTAGCTGTTGCCGTTTGGTTTGGCTTTGGTCAATCATATGCTACTACTGTATCATATGTGGCCCTTTTCTCCAATTGTTCATGTTCCTCTCCCTGTTCTCTCGCCCCTCTCCCAGGGGATCCGACCAAGGTGCGCGGCCACGGGTTTGGCCAGTGAGAAGGGCTGCCCTCCCAGCACACTTCCACAGCTGCTGAAGACTCTTGGCTGTGTACAAAACATGATAAACATGTGATTGCCCAAGCCTGCCCGTCGATAAGTTTGCTTGTTTATGATGTCGATACATAATTAAGGACCCCCCCTGATTAGTAAGATCTGTTTCTTTGCTGCAATGCAATCCTGGCTGTCTTTCATGAAACCTTCCGGCCCATTTTCCAAGGTTGGTACCCAAATAGAAAGGCCTTTCTTCCCATTCACCTGCGTCAATTTCATTCAATTTCAATATGAGTTCTTGGATTTTTTCATTTTGGGGCAGTGATTTGTTGCAAGTAACAATAGCTCGATCAAATTTGTTCATGGGCAATTTCATCCTTAATGTGTGTTTTCTTCTCAAAGCTTGCCTCCCAAGACACAATTTTGCTCCATGCCATTGGCAGTTTGTCTCGTCAGTGAGACTACAACTGCCCAGGCGTCGTTTGAATTGCCCATGCTGGCATCTTCCCTGGACCGATCCCATCATAAGAATCTCACTGCTCTTCACCTGGAAGCAGATCCTCCAAAGTCACCCAGAAACCCCAAATCACGGCAAGGAAATCCTTTACAACGCCTTGATTAAGAATCTATCTATACATATACATATAGAATCTATATGTCCAAAAACTGATTCTGTCGAGCTCCCAGACCCTCTGTTCATGACCACCCACCTGATTTGGTCCCCCAATGGATTGAAAAAAGAACAGCTTTCCCTACAGGCACCTGTTGCCCTTGCAAATGCTTCCAAGTCCTTTTCTTCAACCTTCCTTACCAATCCTTCCTGATGGAATTTTCAATCATAGGTTCTTTTCCTTATCCATCAATTCATGTTCTGATTCTTATTGTTCTTTCGACTCCTCTCAGCTTCGCCCAGCTTATCCCAGCTCGGAAATTTGCCAAATCGGCACTTATTTTCGTCTCATGCCTGTCAGTTTCATCAGGCTCATCAAATATATCAGCTTAATGCATCCAACTTCCGGTCCACACTTCTCAAGCTCATGCTGCTTGATGGACTGCATGCTGTCACAGCATGCATCGATCTCATAAATCTTGAAATGCGAGGCCTTACTTTCATGGCCAACCATCATCCCCTTGTGCTCATGCTTTTGACTGGCACGCCTTGCCCAGTCGCCTCATTCTGCACATTCATGGCATCTCACGGTATCCCAACAAACCTTTAAAGAGGAAGACTTGGGTCAGGCAAGTCTTCCTTTTAAAGGTCCCATCATAGCACCACACATGACTCACAACTTCCATTCCCATCATGAGCTTCTCCATGCTTCTTTTCAAGTGGCATGCCGAACTTTAGTCTTGAAGATCTCATGAAGAGATTTACAGTAGTTTTCCCCCCCCCCACTTCATGAAGAGATTTAGTCTTTGCGACCCCTCCTCATGAAGAGATTATAAGTCTTGGGAATGTTAGCCTGCCTGACCTTCTGGCGGGTGATTCATCAATGAATCAATGAGTCGACATCAAGGAGTTTAAGCCGGCCGAGGAGCGAACACCAAAGGACAAGCGCCAAATCCCAACCCCTTGCAAGCGCCCGTTTTCGCTGGATCATTTGGCAAAACGATGCTAAATGAGATGCTTGGCCCGAGGACTTCTGCCGAGAAGTGCGGGTCGAAGCCTGCACTTCGAGTGGAGCGGCCGTGCCCGGCGCTGGGCGCTAACGGCGAAGCGCCTCCTGCGCTGCCTGAGGAGGCGTGGAAGACATGGAGCTGGAGGGATTACTATGAGGATGCGCGGAAAGCTGGCAAGGGCTACTGGGACTCCTGCAGCTTTAAAGGTTTTCATGTTTTGATTGACTTTTCGGTACTTTTTGGCTCTTCTGCACCCTTCAGCACCCTTCAGCCTCTCCCACCCCCCTTGCTGCGTCGGTGTGCAGCCCCAGGCTTCGTGAAGTGTGGCCTACAGCCCTTCGAAACGGTGGCCGTTTGGGGTTTCAATGCTCCGGAGTGGATGCTCAGCACCTATGCTGCTAGCATGGCTGCTGGCAAGTCGGCGGGGCTCTACCCGACGGACACGCCGGAGACGGCCGCCTTCAAGGCGGGGCGAGCGGGGCGAACGATGTCCAGCCGCCCAAGCCATGCGAGGGGAACGTCGGGACGAAGGAAATGTGAGGGTGAGTGTGAGGAAGCCTATTTGCCCTTTCAGTCCCAGACAATCCCGTGGCCTTCGACCCCTCGTCTGGTCCGGAAGCGGCCTTTTAACCAGGTCGCCCACAGTGGCGCCAGCCTGGTGGTCTTGGAGGACGAGGGGAAGCTGAAGAAGCTCGTGGCCGCCTTAACGGCGCGACCCATGGCGCGGATGAAGGCCGGATGGAAGGGGAGGAAGGACTCATGGGAAGCAGATTGAGCTAAGTTGAATCGCTCGAATCTGAGGTTTTGGTTAGTTCCCCACCTGCCAGGTGAGGGTTGTTAGATTTTATCACAGTTGTTCTTCCTCTTCCTTCCTTCCTTCCTTCCTTCCTTCCTTCCTTCCTTCCTTCCTTCCTTCCTTCCTCCTTGCTTCCTTCCTCGCCAACCTCCTCGCCAATCTTCAGCGCCAATCTTCATCGCCAATCTTCGCCAATCTGCTTCGCCGATCTTGTCTGGCAAGCTCCGGATCGCAGTGTGCACCCCTGGACCTCAACCACAAGGATCCGATCGCAGTGTGCACCCCTGGACCTCAACCGCAAGGATCCGATCGCAGTGTGCACCCCTGGACCTCAACCGCAAGGATCCGAGCGCAGTGTGCACCCTGGACCTCAACCGCAAGGATCCGGGCGTGCACACCTGGACCTCAACCGCAAGGATCCGATCGCAGTGTGCATTCCTGGACCTCAACCACAAGGATCCGATCGCAGTGTGCACCCCTGGACCTCAACCGCAAGGATCCGATCGCAGTGTGCACCGCTGGACC